GCACTACCGCACCGCCTTGTGTCAGGACGGACAGATTAGGCATGTCACGGATGATGGCCATGTGGCCGCAATAGCCACTAGCTCAGAGGTGCATCAGGTTCAAGCAAATGCGTATCTTTTCTTTGTGCGGAAGTGCTGAGTTGAAGTAGTGCACGGGCATCGTCGGAGGGCAGTCCTTATAGTAGCTATGTGCTCTTTTCTTGATATTGGGGCTTTCTACATACCTGTATTTGACTTTTTATCCTATCTGTTGTGCAAAGCCTGTACCGACTTTTGGATGCCTCAACCTGTCAAGACTTGTGGCCCTTCGGGGCAGTTTAATTTTCGCGGAGCTGTCAGCCCATCAACATGGGGCGGACACGCCAAGATGGGCTGTGGTTTGCCTGAATCCTTATGTTCAACTTTGTTCATCATAATGTTTTAGCTAGCTAAATGCTTTACAGCGGCTCCTGCGACCTTTTGCTTAGGTGGAAAGGGCGCCTTAAAACGGCGTGCAACCAAGGAGTTGCCAGCTTGAAAAAGCTGCCCGCATCGCGAGGACCCTCTTCGCGGCGAGTGAATGAATGAATGTATGTATGTATGTATATATATATATGTATACATATATATATATATGTAGAGGCCAGTCCCTGCAATTTGAAGCTTTGGCTTACACGGTTTAGGTTTTAGACGGTGTAGGGCATCGGCTTACAAGGTTTAGGGCCAGTTTAGGGTTTAGGGTTTGTACGGTTCGGTGTTTGGAGTTTACAGGGTTCACAGTTTAGGGTTTGCACGGTTTAACCACCGAACCCAAAAGCTGAACAACACGTGTTAAGGTTGAATCCTGAGTTTTGCCTTGAGGGTTGTAGCACCTCTTTTCGCTGCGAGGGGGGTTACGCCATGCAGTGTCCGTACAGAAAGCTGGGGCGCAATATTTGATTTTACATCGTACTTATGCCCTGCAGGCTGAATGTGTCACTAACGAGTACCGGCAGAGTCAACATGGCATGATTTCATACCAGGCCTTTGCCTGTCCACGGCGTGTTGAAGATGGGCTTTCAGAGGAGCCTTTCGTGCCTGGAGCTTACCGTTGATGGTGCTTGATGTTGATCGATCTCTCCAGCCAGTGCTACCCAGGTTTGATCAGGCAACATCAATGATGGCGCGTGGGGTTTCTTGACTGCGCAGCAGGCTTCTGGTTGCTCCGTTCTGATCATGTTCCCATTCCATTGGCAATGGCGGTCTTTGCCCTCGACCAGAGTGAGTGAGAGAACGCATCAATTGCACGACTGGCAAATTCCAACGGCTAGATCTTCACCTGCTCCTTAATTCAAACTTGTTTGTGCTTCCTATGCTCTAATAACTAGGTGCTCACGATTGCTTGATTCAGAGAGCGGCATCAATGCAACAATCATAGAGGCATCTTCCTTAAAGCATGCTGCGGAGTGGCTTTTGCACCAAGGAAATGACGCTGGCCTCCATGGATGGCAATTTGCCTAAGAATGTCGTTGCACAGGAACTCTGGCATTCTGGGAGGCAAAATGCGGAGCAGAAAGCAGTATCCCTACATTTCGAAAGATCTGGGAAGGTGGACTATGGTGGACTCGGAGCTTCTGATTGCCAACTCAGGCAGGGCCATACCCAGCGACGCTGCCATTGATGAGCACGGGCTGCCCACGCGTGGGTCCCAGAAAGACTCGAACAAGGCTGTCAGCAATCTCCGAAGCCACGAGGACTGATGCTGCAGCTGGCCTTCGGGGAGCCCAGTTGCCTTTTGCCGGTCACAAGGTGCGAGCGGTACTATGTAGGATGTGGCACCGCAAGCCTGCTTCCGACAGGGCACCTGTCTTGCCTTGATGATCGAGCTGTTGGCAGCGAGCTTTACAGGTGACGCCACAACATGACATTGAAAAGCAGGAACTAGACTCCCGCCTCATCACGTAGGTGATGCATTCGCTTATGAAGTCCGTGACGATCCAGCTACCGGGCCAACTCAGCATGGAGCGGTCCTCGGAGAACGATTGTGGCGAAGAGAGCTGCAGGGAAGCCATATGTGCATGAAGGGTTATCCAGTTGGCCAGCCCATAAAGGATGCGTCCAGCGATGCAGTTCACGTACTCCAGCTTGTGTGCAGTGTCTTGTTGCATCGACCTACACCGCGAAAGGAGAGTTTATCCTGGCAGTTGATCCCGAGACGTGCTCGAAAGCAGGCACAAATCCGCATGTGGATTCTGGGCTGAGATGTCATGCCGCCGGTTGTTAGCCTATCTTCTCTGTGAGCTGGACGTTGAGGCGGGCGTGCTGCCTTCCTGGACAGGGTAGAGGTCAGATGGCCCACGAGTGCAGGATGTGCCCCTTTTGCGGTTCGTGCGTTTGTGTTGCATGTGCCTCGATGTTTCATGGTTGAGAGAGGCACAGGCTGAAACTGTGAGCATCGACGATTCCAAGCAGTTTGTTCTGCAGGCCTTGCTGCGGACGGTCGAGGCTGAAGCCAAAGCTGCCGAGGCCGCTGAGACATGAAACGTGGCGATCGTACGAGGACCTTTCGCAACCTTGTCCTGATCTGGAAATGAGCGTAGCTGAATGAATTGTTTGCTGTCTCGGGACGCTCGCGTTTGTTCAGGCATGTTCTCTCTGAATTTGTTTGATCGCTGCTCACTCCACTAGGTCTGTTGTTTGCCACGGTCTTGGAGTTTGAACAAAAGATCGCCACTCCTTTCGCCGCTCAATGGTTTTACTGCGTTTTCTGGTGCAGCTGCGGCTTTGTCACCCTAGTATCTTGGAAGAAGACCGCCGCTCTGAACATCATCCAGAGCAAGAAAAGGAAGTGCTAGACCAGGCAGATCCCCTGAGTCATTCCGAGTGTTCAGAAAGCCTGGAATTTGCATGGAATCCATTGACTCGTTTGAGATGGACTGTCAGCTTCGGCAGTCTGTGCATGCCGCGAGGTTACACCAAACGCCCCCCCTTGATTCTACAAGTAACACAGACTGCTGTGTCCGCGAGCGTTTCAATCAATGCGCTCAGGGAGGCTACCTTTCCATGCGCAGATTCGGGTTGGTGAGTGCTGCCGACTACATTTCTGGGTGAAGCCCATGCTATTCATCGCCCGTTCTGACCCAGCAGAGAACGCCTCTGAAGATGACAAACAGTAGTACAGGCCCGCTTCAGGACCTGCAAGCACACTCGAGAAGAAGCATGACATGGCAAGACGTGCCTTAACCCTCCCGAGGCGTTCTCGCATCTAGAGTTTCCAATCCACACTCCACACTGGCATTCAGCGACTCTTTTGTATTGTCACTGCAGCAGCAGGAGCAGCAGCAGCAGCCGCGGCGGCGGCGGCAGCAGCAGCAGCAGCAAACTCTCAATCAACGGCCATGCCCGCAATAGTCATCGTGACCATCATCCCTGGACAAACGAAAATGTTCTACCGATCAGAGCGTGTTGCGCAGTGGGACTTTCAACTCAACAGTCAACAATGCCACCTCCGCACTATTGTAGGCCGATGGGAGAAGCATGCGGTTGCCCGCACAACGGAGATGGGCAGCTCGGAAGACCACGCCGCAGGACCCGGCAGAGAGAAAATTGGGTGCTGCATCGTGGCGTCTTGCGTTAGTGAAGCCTTCTTCAGGAAGGCTTTGACATTGACGAGGCAAGACGGGCCTTTTTGTGGTGATCTTGGTTGAACACAGAGCACCAAGATACTTTGGCCAGTGCCTATGTCGATTCACTGATTTCACGGGCCCGAGATGGCCAGCATTCCCTTGCAGGAGTTGCTCGGGAAGTGTAAGGCCCTTTGTGAGTGAGCCTCTCTACAAGCAGACGGAAACAAAGGCTTTCCCTAGGCTTGCTCAGACTCGGCTCAACCAGTCGAAGCAGAGCTTCTGAATCTCAGTCAGAGCTGAGGGGACAGAAGACCACCACTCCCAGAGACAATGCGGATCAAAGCATGTGATGGGCAGCGGAAGGGCCTCGCAAGCTGCTAGGAGTGTCGCCTTGCCTGGATTCCATGTCGCAGCATAGCCCGCAGGGTGTGTTGTCTCAATGCAAAGACGAAATTTTGTCTACTACAGCAGCCTGCGCCCGCAATGCACCAAATGCATGCTGCAGCTCGTGTTGGCAAAGTCGTGGTCGGCCAGCCGAGAGCACCAGCCAAGCAGTCAGCTGAAGTGGAATAGTCCTCTTCCCGTGCCATGGGACGTCGTCGCTTCGCAAAGAAGGGGGAGGCGGAGAACCGTGGTTTAGCATCCCATAACATTCCAAACTTCTCCTGGCCGCAGGATGTGCGTCACTTCAAGCTCGTCGCACGTCCAGGGGCCGATGATGATGACGGTACGGGAAGCATGCTCCATTGCAGCATGTCCAGAGTCAGCATGGCGCATGAAGGACTTGTGTTTGATGCTGGATCGCTGAGGTGATGTGTCTGAGGGCTCTGTGCATGCATTGAAGCACGATTAGGTGGTTCTGTCCAACGCACCAGACGAGCTGTGAAGCATGTACGGACAGAACACCGTTCGCAGCAGTTATCTAACAATCACTTGCAAAATGTAGAGCCTTATCATCACTGACAGTACGATGGGTCAATAGCAGCAGCATATGTGCTGAGCTGTCTCATTCTATCGGCTTGCGTGTGCTCTCCCGCCAGATAAGCCGCCGCTCGTCCTGGAGCCTTTTGCGCCGCCAGGCCGGCACTTTATAGAAACAGAGCCGAGATCGTGGCGGATCATAGCTGATTGTAGCTCGTAGCTTGAAGCGAAGAGGTTCCCTTCGGCGCACCGGCAAGACAGAGGCTGGAAGCTTCTCGCTGAGCGTGTCGGAGAAAGTTGAACTGCAGGCTGAATTGCTCGCCGTTCCTCAGAGCCTGCAGTCCCATGTGGGGCCTGGGCCCCGAGGGCTTTCTTGTCATTTGCAATTAACTTCCAGGTCCAGACAACGACCCGGCGGCCTGCAGCGGAAGTCCTACGTAGAATTGGGGAAAAGTGAGTAACCAAACCCAAAATTGGGATGTGGCCGGACAGCATTAGTTATTTGGGCAGTAGCCGAACTAATCGGGCTTGTCCTGGATGCCGCGGTGCGCAAATATGCTGGTGTCAGCACCTGACAGGACGCTCTTCAAATGCCTGTTTTCGCGGGTTTTGTAACCCGGAATGACGACTTGTGCAAGGGCAACACCGCAGCATGCGCACCTGCTTCAGCAGGTCTCATGTTTGGAATCTTGAGGCAACGGAGCTTGCCTGCCTGCTTGCTTGCTTGCTTGCTTGCTTGCTTGCTTGCTTGCTTGCTTGCACAAGCCAAAAGGCCAAATCAGCCAAACCCAACCGACTGGCCTATGTTCGAGATTGAATTTCCTTTTGCTGCCAAGGCAGGTGAAGGTGGGTCCGCTTCAAGTCCTCGCCGCCGAGGTCTGCCATTTTTCAACCAGGCCACGACGATGATGAACGCGATGGAAAAAGGAGCTGCTGCTGACGGCGTTGCCCACGATACTCTGCTGAATCTCCTGCCATGGCCAGGAAGAAGGAAGCAACTGGAGGTGCTCTATATTTTTCCGTCAGCTGCTGTACAAAGAACGATTGCTTTCATCTGTGACTGATAGGCCTCGATGAGGTCACGTTCCAAGCTGATCCTTTCGGCAGCTCGGTGCACAGTGGGCTTGCTGAACAAACAGGACGTTGACTGGGACGAGCTTGACGGTGACTGCTATTTCCCACCGGATGGTCTGCTTCCTACGGGTATTTTCGGATCGGAGAAGACGAGTCAAGTTCTGTGGCCCTAGGCTACGACTACGAGCAGCATTTGAAGAGTGTCAGCGGCACGAAGAAGGTACCTTATGCTTGGACAAACTGTAACAAGAGTAGTCGCCGAGCTGCTCTTCTGGTCATGAGACTCTCTAGAGAGACCATTTAATGTCCTTTTCAGGCTAAGAGCGTGGTGGGCGTGGTGCTTGCGGCCCCCGAGCCAGTCAAGGAAGAGGTGCCTGGAACCAGTCGGAACGAGCAGAGCAGGGCTACACTTGCTTGCGCTTGCACTGTGCTTGCAATGATGCGACTTAGCCACAGGACTTCCTCAAGCAGCAGCCTACAAATGATGATGAGGAGGAGGCTCGTCAAGCGCTTCACGCACGCATTTTTGGATGATGGGCTGCCCTGGCCACAATTGAAAACGTTGAGTCCCTGAGATCATAGTAGACCCAGGTTCTGCGAGCACTAGAGCATGTGGATGAGTACGAGGAGCTCGAGGACCGCAGTTGTAGTGCTGTTGTGCTTCCGGAGCGCACCGCAACCTAGTGTTCAAGGACGAGGTCATGGCAGAAGTGGTGGATGGAGGTCTTGTAGAGCTAGCAGCCAAGAGATCGAACGCCTGGCGTAAAGCGTACTGCAGCAGTCGAACTCTTGCGGCAGTCTGCCGCAAGGCCCGACATGGTCTTATGGGGTCCAGCATCGCTGGAGAACGCCTTGCATCCAGCAAAGACCTCAGAGAAGCGGCGGCTTTTGTAAATTTAGCCGCACTGCCAAAGACTCTTCAAGGACATGTCTGTCTTTGCTGAGCACAAGGCGGAGGGCTTCGTGCCTGCTCTGCTCTTTTTTTGGAGACAAAATGCCAGGCCCTCTTGCAGTCGCGAGGCAAGACGGAAGTAGAGGATCCGGAATCAATCTTCGCAAAGGCATTGTGCCATCTGCCTCACATTTTGCACGGGCACGTCTCTGCATTGAGCGCTCATGGCACGGCAGGACGACAGTGACTTTGACGATGGTTTAGATGAGTTGAATGGAGGCCCAGGGGCATGGTGGATATCACTTGAAGCTTTACATGTCCCTGCACGCAACGAACTTCCCTACTAGACACAGCTGACTTGATGGTACTGGATGTTTGTGCAGGTTACACAGCCGGGGGTGCGAAAGGAAGCAATGTGCTGACCCCACTTGTGAGCGAAAGTGCTGGGTGGCCGGATGTGACCAAGTGCCAATCTAGGCCCAGCCCAGAGACGAGGTGTTGTGGTGAAAGCTCGCATTCGGCTCCACACATGCGCGGATGACTATTGTCTGCGCAGGATTTTGAGAAGTTTATGGCAGACCAGTATGGCGATGATGAGCTCTTGCCTGAGCAGCTCCATGACTAAGTGACTAGGTGCTGTATGAGTCTATGTAGCTTGAGTTTAGTTTAGTGTGCACGGACAGGGGACGGCAGGGGCCGGCTGTCCCATACTTGCTGTTATTTCTCAAATGTGCAGGATAGGGCCCCGAGACGAGGACGGGCTCTCCATCCTTGCTCAGTACGGGTTCGTTGAGCAGAGACGATCCGAGCAGAGACCAGGACGACATCGAGGGGCAGATTGAACTGGACGACACGGTTCTGGATGAGTCCGCAATTCTGTGTGTTTCACAATTTTGCGGCTTTGCGGTACCTTGGAGGCTGCTTTCGTGGTTTGCACAGGTACCTGAACGAGCAGAAGGCCGAGCAACAAGAGCATCTTGGCTAAAGATTCGATCAGATTCAATTTCCCGGAGTCAGAGTCTGCAATGAGTTGAAGTGCGAGCTCGGAGCCAAGGCTAATCTCGCTCTACGAGCCGCAGCGAGGCTTCAAGGACAAAGCGTCTTCTCTGCTCCTCGGAGGAGGGACTCCGTTTTGTGGGAAGGACGACGAGCCCCGTGTCATCGCCGAGACACGCGCTATCATCGAGAGACACTACTTGGAGGATTGCTGTGGGGCTTGCCATTGTCTAAAGATCTTGTGCTTTCTTCTGTAGTTGTGGCCTGAACTTAGGAGGAAAGTGAAGAAGATACGGAGTCTGGAGACGAAAGTGAAGACGAGTCGGGGCCATGTCTGTTGGCACATGTCCGCTTCCACGTGCTGCATTTTCAACCATGAAGCCGCGTACAGGTCTAGGACATGGGATTGTGAGACGGTCCTGAGCACTCTGAGCAATCTCTCCAACCGACCAGGCAGGGACTGTCATTTCTGCGGAGATGTAAGCCGTAAGTAGACGTGAAGCTCTCGGCACGTCGCGTATCTCTTGACATCGGGATTGGCGAGCACGTCGCCAGCAAGAACATGCAGCGTTGTTATCATGCTGTGCAAGAGTCAAAACTTCCGACATATCCACATGGGGAACGGCTGAAGAGACACAGACTGCAAGACATGAACTGGTATGATTCTTATGCTGCACAAGATGGCATATTATCGTTTGTAGTGAGATGTAATTGAGCCTAGTTTTTGGGAGTTTTTGGAGTTCAGGATCATATTATGTAGTGTGAGAAATAAAGTGCCCTGTCGAAGATTACAGTACAGTACAGTGTAGCATAGTACAGCATAGTACAACACAGGCGAGTCACGTCCAGTCCAGTCCAGTCAAGCACAGTATGGTATGCTCTAGTGTAGTCCAGTCTAGTATAGCATAGTATATAGTAGCATAAAACATGCATCGAGTTTGGCATGCTCTGGGAGTGCAGGCTTCATGACGTGCTGAACTTTACCATGAACCGGGGTTCCCGGCTCCGCCTACGGGGCTGGGGTTGAACATGACCCTGCGTGTTGAAATCTCTTGCTGGAGAGATCGCCATGGCCGAGAAATGGGCCATCGCCTGGGCTTTTCGAGATTTGACAGCCAGTATAGCCTTAGTATATTATAGTAAGATATAGTACAGTACCGTATGGGAACGTATAATTTAGTATGGTTCTCCATTTGGTACAATGATAAGATAGCATAACACCCCCCAACGCAGTTTAGCAGTTTTTCTTTCAAATTTAATGCTACAACACTTTAATATGACACACTATGGGATCAGATGAAAATTTTGTCATATCATATCCCAGCGTATCATGTCATACCGAATCATGTCAACAAGCACAGCATGATACAATATGATGCTTCATATAATATAATCACAACACCGTCTAAGATTTTGAAGTACAGCATGATAACTGTGTTATTTAACAGTTCACTGTAACATAATGTCACACTGCTTAGAGTGTTATAGCATAATCTAAGATAAAATAGCAGAAATTAAATTGAGGATTCTTCGCGCATGAATACAGTTGAGGTTATCATCTTTATGCTGCTAGTGTTTTAGTTTTAGCAATTACCAGTATCATACCGTAGTGGGTAGTGCAAATGTGAGCTTCGATTCGTCATAGTACGCATTTCACCGATGATGCCGCATTGTCAATGTGTTAACATTAGTCATTCATAGAGTCCCCGTACGCATACTCAAAGAGGTACAGGTATGATGTGTTAACATTACTAATCTGGTTACAATGACGATCCTTTCGAACAATCTCGGGACTGAAACGGATGTCTTTACCAACTGCAGTACTCAGAGACAGATGAAATGCGTGGCGCCTGTGATCTGCATTCAGGATGATTGGTTGGGAAGGGTCGACTTACATCGATAATCATGGTCATCGCTTCAGCCGTACAGGCTTGAGCAGGCTTCGTGAAGGGATTCGGCCGGGGGCATCGAGCCTCGGAAGCATTGCGCTTCAGAGGCATGGCGCCACAGTGCTTTTCCCTGCCCAGCCTTCCGTTTGAGGTTTCCGTTGAAGGGGCTGGAGCAGCTGCTTGCGCCAGCATAGGGCTGACCTTCAGCCGTGATAGTGCATGGCGCTTACATGGTTTAGGGGCCTGCACTGGGCCCAGTAGGACCAAAGCATGGTGGGCGGCATGTCCGCGTGAGCTGCGAGGAAGGTGATTCCGAGCTGACTGAGCTGACTGCATGGTCATTGATTATGCATCTGCAGTCAGGATGGTTGGTTGCGAAGGGTCGACTTCATCGATAATCATGATCAGCACTTCTGCCGTATAGGCTGGAGGAGCAGCTGCTTGCGCCAGCATAAGGCTAACCTTCAGCCGTGATAGTGCATGGCGCTTACATGGTTGAAGGGTCTGCACTGGGCCCAGTCGAACCAAAGCATGGTGGGCCGTACGTCCGAGTGAGCTGCGAGGAACGTGAGAAAAAGACGTGAGTGCGCTTCGAAGCTTCATGGTCATTGATTATGCTGTTAACCGCGCTTTTGCTCCTAGCGTATTCGGTAGTTGTTGTGATGGGGCACTGTTGGTTTCGCCGACATTGCTGACATTGGCGGTGTTGCACTGGTTGTCTTACCCTGCGCATTGTTACTGTTTTCGCTGTCACAACTTGCACAACTTTCGTTTGACTATAGATGCTTGCCATGTCACCAAAGCTGTGTGAGGTTACATGGCTGCATGTTTCCGCTTTACGAGCAGAATTTGGACATGACATGTTACAAAACAAGAACGCTGCCACCGCTTGAGATGACTCGCATCTTCAATATCGATAGCATAACCTATGCCTTGTCACCACAATGCGTGAATTACACGAGGTTCCACGTGCTGCAAGTTTCCAAAAAACCATGTATAAGTTGCAACATGACAGGCGCAACTACAATAGCTACAGAAAATCCAGATAATATTTTCCAGAGGGGAAAGAGTTATGCTGACAAAGCCTGGCCTCAAAAGCCAAGTGCATTAACGAAAGCAGGCAGAACTGACAGGTAAACGAAATCAACAGTGACAAGTAGCCGAGTCATCGAAAAGGAATTACTTATTCCTCTAACCCCTGGGTTCGACGCCCGAAGCACAGATCCCCCTCAATCTACACCTCACAAAACTGTTGAGCGGTACCCAGCTATCCTTTAGGCTGGGTGGATTTGCACGACTTTCTAGCAGATTTGTTGAACTTCCCGGTTGCCAGTATGTATAGCTGTATCAGAATTGGTAGCATTGCGTCTTTCATTTGACATATTTACAAACAAAAGAAATTAAAACAAAAGACGCCTCCAAGTTGTCTAACTATGGAAACATTAGTGTACAAATCACGGTCGAAAAACCATGCCCGGCTCTGGATGTCGCGAGTGGCGCAAGTAGGGCAGCAATCCCCCCGTGTTCTGTTGACTGAGCTCGAGTTCTTGGAATTAGAATGCAAATCCTTTCATGGGAGCATAATGACGATGATCTCGTCATGGACGAAATGGCGACCGGACGGACTGTGAGTCGCTGCTGTTAAATCGGAGTGGTTTTTTGTTTAAGCCTCGTCGCGCTGTCGTCGCGTTTCCTTCTGCGGACATTGTTCATGTAGGTTAAGCACAAAACACACGTCTTGATTGTTGCTGCGAAAGGCAGGATAGGCAGATTGAAGATCGTCAAGGAGAAGACACAGCCGCTGAATCCTGTCAAAGAAGCCGAAGGCACCTTGAACCTTGCTCGAGCGGGCAATGGCCCTGTGCATGGCAAACTGATGCGACCAGGCAAGGATGACGAAGCCGCGGCGAGCTCATTGGGGCATGATATGCCTCAGTTGCATCAGTTGGAATGCAAAGCTTGCCAAGGACGTGGTGGAGCTGCCTGATGTGACTTCCTGAGGGGTCTGCACCAGACTGGGTGCACGTGCACAGGTTTTGAGCGCGGCTCAGCAGGCGAACGGACGGATGCATCCAAGGTGGTGACGACTCGCGAGAAGGGCGAAACTGCAGAAGAGAAGAGGGCCCGAAAGGCTTCTGTGAAGGTGCAAGAACAAACTCTTGGTAATGGCGACGTCCGTTCCATCTGAAGGACCCAACCTCTGAATTTGCTCACCCTGCAAGGAAATGAGACGGATCTGTAGACAAATGAAGAAAGAAAGCTCATACCTTAGTCGGCAGTCTCTTTATGCCTCGACCGACTGGAAGACCCAGTTGAACTGCCAATGTTGAATCAAGGCAAAGACATGTACAAGAAAGAGGCTGCAAAGCTGCCAGGCTTGGGAGAAGGATTCTGCCTCACAACACAAGCAGCATTCGTCGTGTAAGCACCAGGCCAAGGTGGAGCTGACCTTCGGCAGAAGACGCGAACCGTCAAGTTATGACCTCGTTGGGCTGCAGAGCGAGAGTCGAGAGCAGAAACGGTGAATCAAGCTTTCCGAGGTACTGAGACAAGCGGAGTTGGCCGTCACGCGCTGGCACTGTTGTACACATTGAAGAACCACTCCAGGAGAGGCTTGAGACTCCCGCTGGAGTTGTTTCGTCTCAAAGCTGCTTACTCGAGACTTCGAGCTTTCCCAGTCCAAACATTCCAAGACTCAACGATGACTCGTCGTCGACGCTGGAAGCCTCGAGTGGCAGCTTTGGGTGCTGGCCAGGCTGTCAGGTTCGGTCTTCGTGCATCACCTTTGTTTCACAGGCTGAAGAGACAAGCCTCTCTAGCCCAGAGCACTCGATCAGCCTCCGGACGGATTGCGTTTGACGTCACGGGGATGATCCGAATCGGTGAGGTTCTGACCGACGTGTTACATCATTCCCAGGCTTGCCTGCATGTCTGTCGCCGTTGTCTGAGCTTTCGGTCCTGGAAACCGATGGCTCTGCTTCAGGTGCGGGAAACTGTGTGCATGTATGGCTTCGCAAATGCTAAGAGTCAAGGTCACCGGGTTCATGAAGCATGGAGGTAGCGGCCGGAGAATGCACAGCCTCACGAGAAAAGGCATCTTTCGACCCACAGCCCCCGTTTTGCAAATACCGTTCCGGAGAGCCATGACTGTGACTTCACCTGGCCCGGCTCACGTCGAACTCTCCTGTTCGGCTCTTCGGGCGGTCGGTCGGTGTGTCCTTTGACAGCCCTGCCGGCCAGGGATCTCGCCTTCATCACTGCTCTGTGGCCTGTGACGGTCAGAAGGAGAAGCAATGTAGGCTACTTGTAGACGACCTCTTAGATAAGCAAAAGTCGGCGATCGAAACCTCTAAAACTTCGTCAGGAAGCAGCAGCGACCATCTCTCGTCGGCAACGTTCCTTTGCCAAGGTGCAGCGGTGGTGGTGGCGGTGGTGGTGGGTCAATGGTAGGACAGACTTCTAGCAAGCTTTCATTGCAGGATGGGCGACTGCCACCGTCGACTCCTCTGGCAATTACTCTTGCTCTCGGGGTCTGTTTGTCTGGCCTTGTGCTGATGAAAGGTTCGATGGTCTTACGTGGTCATGGGAAGGCGTGCCGTCTGCGAGTTTCTTTCGCCGGTGTCACTCCCTTTAACGCAGCGAGGTGGCTTGGCCGGGGCTTTTGCAGCCGCCACATGGCCGGCCAGGCTCCACAATTGTAGGGTCTTGCAAGGAAAGCCTTGGCGTGCCCTTGCAACAGGTTGCGATCAGTGAGGACGAGACTGCGCGGGCGTGGGTTTGGAGGCATGGCTTTGTTACCTCACTTTACTTGGTGCATGCATGGTACAAACAGGTCAAGCACCAAGGGCCGCTTCAACTACTCAAGGCTCCACAAAGGCTAGCTGCCATGGTTCGCTACATGCCGATGCAGCCGGCACTTGTCACCCTGACTTCGCGGAAGGACTTTGCAATGTCGGAGTCGAAGGTAGGCAAGTTCAACAAGCAGGCGCTTCGCGTGCCATCAACCGTTGCATTTAGGGTCTTGTAGAGCAAACAGTGTAGCCAGGTGTCGGATGTTTTGGAAAGCTCGGAGTGTGGTTAGGTTGACTACAGTCGGGAGTACGTGGTCTTCCAAGCTTTGCTGCTGTGCTCGTACCAGTCAAGAGTTGGAAGACATGGAAGACTCAACGGTTTGTTAAGAGAGTGTAGGAGTCGATGCTGAGCGGAACCAGGAATGTTCACACACACACACACACATGCACACCTAGTGCAGACCCATACACACCGCGCGCACTCACAAGCCTACGTGTGTACTAATGTGTCCAGGTCTTGGCTTCAATCGATGGTTGGTGCGACGAGCTCATTGCGGGCCTGCGTGACCACGGTGCGCAGATCTGAAGCGCTGCGCCGCCACGTAGTGCTACAAGTGAGAGCGCAGGATGGTGGGCGTCCTCCTCGCCGGTCCTCCCCGAGCCGCTCTTGCGGGCCATGCGTGACAGCCCCAGTCATCCCGATTTTTTGGGGTGGGTCGCCAAGTCTGGCGCAGGCAAGGAAGTGGAGGATCTGTGGGACAACGGCGACTTCATCCAGTCACAGTCAGTTCTGGGCGGAAGCTATTCGTCACAAGTCTTTTTTGATGTTTTAGCGTGCGATGTCGTTTTGGACGCATGTGGAAACATTCGGCAGCCATCTACTATGACAAGAAGCATGTGTTTGCCACGGAGATCAAAAGCGACAAGTACTTGGTTTCGCCGCGTGCGCCGACTTTGTGCATTAAGGCACACCGACAGCATCTTGATGCTGTGTGGGACTTGTGCAAGGTATGTGGCATTACACGGTGACCTTGACGAGGGAACTGGTCAGACGAGTGACATGCCTGAGTGCATCGTTTGGTCCTTTGGTGTGATGATTTGCGTGAGATTGCGACCCTTACGATCCTCAAAGGTGAAAGCACATGCCATAGCTGAAGCTTCAACTGTTGGACAAGTGGTGGAGATTGACCACCTAGCCCCGAGATTCCAACATTCAGTGGGAAGTCAATCGTAGCAGCATGGAGAGAACGAGGTGAACGCAGCTTTTCCAGAAATGGGTTTGAGCGACAAATTCATTGGCAACAAGCTGGAGCCTAAGCAAGAAGGGCAGGCAAACATTTGCAGGTGCATATGACTGTGCTGAGAGACATCGTCTGCAGTTCGTTGAAGCAGACTGTACCTAACCTATTGCAGAACACAGACGTCAATGATGTTTGTTTTTGTGTCTGCTCCTTCTCTCTTTGACGCACACAGGTGTAGTCCCTCATGCATGCGTAACGCTGCTTAGTAGGCACAATTTATCGATACTTGTTCTGACAATGAAGGAGAGTTTCGACACGAACTTGGACAGCTTTTCCAGTTTTGTTTGAGTCCCATTTTCCGTTCTGAAACCATGCCCTCAGCTCTTCTATCTTGTAGTGGGAGACCGCTCCTCGCTCCCTTCCCCATGACTTCGTCTCTCCGAGGCTACCCTCTGTGTCTTCCACAAGGGCCGAAGCTTCATCCTGCACCCCGCGGTTGTAAGCTGTTACCTCTCTCTCTCTCTCTCTCTCTTTCTCTTCTTTCTCTTCTTTCTCTCTCTCTCTNNTCTCTATATATATATATTATATATACCGCGCAGCAACCCCCCATAATGCCGACGATGCAGTCTGCATCACGGGCCATGCGACCCACATCATGAGCATCATCGGGTCTTCGTTTCTCCTTCCGATAACTTCCGATGCTGTTCATCAGGTTCGTGAATCTGAACATGCCAGACAACTATGCGGTTAACATTCGTTCAACAGTTGATGTTCACGCGAAGCTCGAAACCTGTTTCATCACTATGGGTGTGAAATCTAGGTTTTTACAACCATTAAACACTAGAGTTTAGTTACAAATAGACTAGAGGTTCAGGCAACTTGCATGAAGTGCATGTAAGTCGAAGCTCAATCATGTAACTGGTATGTCACCAATGTGTACTTCGTATTCGCTTGGAATGAAAGGTTAATTCGCATTTCCTCGTTATTGAAACCAATAATACCTAGCTCATCCCGTGCGAACGTGCCTATCACTGAGCTTATGTCAACAAATGATGCATTGAAAATTGTGTATACACCATGTGTCGATTTAGTCGTTAGTAGATACTTAGTCGCAATCTGGTATTATTTGCAATTTGCTCGCTCCATCTTGCGAAACAGTCGATAGTCATGATCTAAAACAGACTGAGTTAGTATGTAGCTGCTAAGGCTGCTAAGTATTGCTGTAATGATTGGCCAACCAAAAATTCACTGGTTAATTTCGTCGAAAACTGTCCAGATCGTCGAAGTTTGGATCCTGCGTGAATATCAACCAGCCAATAGTCAAGCTTATGCTGCATGAACAGATGACGCAGAACACATAAATCCTTTGAGATCTGCAACGGCTGCGAGCGACAACTTTTTGTGCATTTGTAATTCCAGCGGGGCTGTGATTGTGGTAGGTATGGGCGCGATAAATGGTGCAGCCATACCTTCGCTTTTTTGTTGATGTGTATAGAGGCTGTCGACTAGTACAGTTCGTATACATACCGGGGATGCAAAGACAGTGCAGGCCTTAAGCCGCGCAGCCCTTATGGAACTTGAGGTGGCCCTGATGTAGGCTGCAAGGGTTTACGATCGGAGTTTTTCTGTTTAATGGTTAGGGTGTAGTCTTGAGGTTCGGTTTGAAAGGTTATCTCCCACAGTTTGTAGCTTGTGAACAATTAGGGTTTAGTGTGCACGAAGGGCGGCTAGCATCACTGAAGGGTTTGGTTGATGTTCCGTGGGTTTTGTGCGTAAACTTAGCTTGGAGGTAGGCTTGCTGCCAGGAAGTGCCGTTGGTGACGGGAAATTCGACAACTAGCCCCAGTGTGCTCATGCCTCACTAAAGCATCATCACGATGTTTATGGACATAACGAGCTCGTACGAGTGCGGTCAACACATGTTGCATAGGATGGCTCGCTTGAGTCCGGCATACTTTCAATACCGATCGAATTTCACAGGCTCTGACTCTCAAAAAAAATACAAAAACAAACTGTCTTTTTCAAAACGCTAGAGCGAAAGCGCAAGTTACTGGACCTCCGAAGCCGTTCATAATATTGATAGTATACTTGTCAACATGGAATGGAAGAACACCATTTACGAATGTTTCCACATCTTAGTTTCAGACTTGGAAGCCGATTATAAGCGCATGACTCACCTTAGGTTCAAATGAATGACCCAGGATGCGAAACGACCCATATTAAGCGATCAGATAACCACTCGTCCCACTTTACGACACCTGCAGTCATCCTGGATTTGCAATCATGGGGCAACCAAACACAATCATCAACACGAGATCCACCCCTTCACCCAAGAAGCAAACCGAACAGGCAAGGCTTTACCTTTCCCGGCAAACATGGAGGCAACTGAGCATGGAGGCGACAATACGGCAAACCAGCCGAGTCAAGAAGTCAAGCGAAGGGCGAACACA